CCAGTTCCTGCTCTTGTTTATCCCTGCCAGCTGGAATCACCTTCGTGCTATGCTGTCTGGGTCTCAGCCAAATAGCTTCCCCCTCATTCTTGTCCTTCAAGACATAGGGGGAGCAGGGAGATGGTGTAAACTGTTACAGAGCGTGTATTGGATTTGCTAGTCTGTTTTTTTGTGGGGCTGGCCAATTCATCATACTACCAAGCTTATGAAAATAACACAGCAGTAAGAAACTGTTTGGAAGGTTCTGTTTCTCATTCATACATCTGACTTCATTAACTTATTAATTGTGATGATTTGCTGTAAACTAATGAATGAACCACTAACTTGGGACATTCATTATCATAAAGCTATTTCCTGCCTGCTTAATTAAACTCTGAGAATGCTCCAGCAGAAGGAAAGCAGAAGCAGACCCTCTTGGAAAGTGATAAATGCCAGAGGCTGAGGGGCATCCTGACAGTTTCAGCACAGCTAAACACACTGTGTTCCCTCCCTAGCAGGAATAAAGAACCTCAGCCAGGCTGGAACAGGGAATTCAACTCTAGCAACATCTTTGACTAGCAGAAATCTCTCTGGATCCAACAATCTCATTTCCCCCAGCACTGCATAAAACCAGAGAAAAAAATATTTTCTGCAGTGGGCCTAATTTTTGATCTAAAACCAAGACTCATTTTATATGGAGGCATGTAGACATCAGCCTACCCTTCTTAAGCATTAACACAGCAGTTGCAGAACTGCCCATCAAGCTTTGCAGTTTGGATATTTTAAGCTAGACAGCAGAAGCATTCAGGGGATACTAAAACAAGAAATAACCATTTTCTGCTAGCACAGACACAGCCTGAAGCAACTGAATGCAGAAAACCATTCTTTCCTTTCTGCCCACTTGGTAAGGGAAAAAAAAAACCTCCTTCCCCTACTTGGTATCATATTGGCACTTAGCGTTCCCAGCCTACGAGAATACAGCAGGAGGCTATCCCTGCCTCAAAGACTTTTACCTTCTTTCCACATCCTCTCTGGTTTGATGCTGGTACTTTAAGAATTGTATCTTACCTAAAAAACCAGCCATGAAGGGTCTTTTATTACAGGCATCTGTGCAAGTACACATGCCTTCTCATAACCTGTGAGCTTACTACAGCTGAGTTTCAGGAGCAAAATGGAAGGAAAATCCTAGCTCCCCAGGGTCCCTGCCCAAGGAGTGGTTAGCTAATTCCCTGCAGCCTACCTGAGCCAGCCCTGACAAAGCCTCTGTAGATGAGGCAACTGATTTATCACCGTTCCTTGGGGCTCTAACTGATACAGTGGTTTAGGCCTCCCTAAAGGCTGTGTTTCTGCTGCTGCTTGTGATGGTCCTCTCTGTTTTGAAAGCTGCAGCTGACCTTCTGCCAAGCAACAGCAAGTATTTAAGGCCTTCTCAGCCAGTGAAAAACAAATTATGGAGAATTCAAGTCCAGCCCACATTTAATTTGCTTTACTTACATAGAAACTGCAGCCTGGAACAGAGATAGTCAAACACCATCATGCCTGCTTCCTCTGGCCAATAGTACCCTGTTGCCCACATGTAATTTGGCCTCAAAAAATTGCTTGTAATTAGGTATCGAAGCAGAAACCAAGCCCTTCTGTTTCTCACTGTAGATTCCTATTTCCAGGGTCTTGCCTAACCAAAACCAACTGTGACACAGCCTGACCTCCCTCTCTGCAAGAATAAAAATAACACAGATTATATGTATCAGTATTATGTGGTGGCATCCACCATAAGAACATTATATATCATGATCCATTCATCATTCCTCTAAAGGTTTTACTGTCTTTGTACCACTTCCTCTTGAACAGTTTACTGAGGAAAATGCTGCTTCTTATCAGCAGTTTTCAAGTTTTTCCACTATAAAGAAAGCCCACTAGAGCTTTAAAATTTACCTTTGAACTTTTTTTATCATTGCATTGCCCACTTCATAAATTCTCTCCTATAGCGACACAATCATAACTCCAAATGACACTGATAAGACAGAAGAAATTGTGAGACATGGTAACTTTACATTTGGTGGTACAGACATGCATATACCACAAGGACATTTGTAAACATACCTGTGAATAAATTCTCATACTCCCTGCACTGCTAGGAAAATACTGCAGTTCCAGGAGAGATACAAACTTTGTCCTCACTGGTCTTGTGCTGCCAGAGACTTACACAGGGTCCCACAGGGTTCCCAAATAGTCTTCAGCACTTTTGCAGGCTGGAGCAGTTTCCAGACACTAATGGTTTAACCATTGCTATACCTCATGGAGTGCCTAAGTGTGGTTCCCTTTTACCTTACATAATTGGCTAACTGACCATCTTAAGGTCAGTGAAGGAGTCAGGTCTGAGAAAGTCTCAAAAATATTCACACCACCAGATCCTCTGTCCCAAAACAACAGCAGTAACGCTTCCTCACATCAGCGCATTTCGGCTAGCGTCTCTCCAATCTGTATTCTGGTACTACTACTGAAATGGAACAGAAAGCTTCTGCTCATATAGACCACCTCCCCTGCCTTCCTTATTGAAGGAAATAAGACTTAAGAGAGAGGTCTATTCCCAGACCTCCACAGATTAGGTAGAAGAACTTGTATTACTGGCAGAAAAAAAACAAACAACTTTAGAAGCATACCGGTGGTTTCCAGGCTGAAAGATTTGGCACTGTGTGCACAGTTTAAGACAAAAAAAAAAAAAAAGAAAAGAGCACTTATAAGGGATAAGCAAAAAAGCTGGGAAAAGGCTGAAATGTTCATAAAGTCAGCATTTTGGCACCTAAATTTGGTGCTGAATAATATCCCTTTCTAAATGGAATTTCTTTTATGAATGGAAAAGAAAAATTCTGATCATTTGAGATTATACCCAGATTTTTTTAAACATGATTCAGTTTGCCAAAAGGGTACAGAAAGGGAGCACTTCCAGCTAGTCTGTGTATAACTTCACCTAAGTAAAACAACAAAATTCCTGGTTACAGAAGAAAAGTGATATTAATTCTTGAAGCTGCTTTTCAAATACTATAACAAATAAGAAGGCTAAAGCTAAACTATGACTTTAGAAACTTTGAAATCTATTTTCCTGTTACAGTCTAAATAGGAAAGTATAGTGAAAACGTTGCTTTCCTGTTAAACTAGAAGCCTAAACTTCCTAGTCAGTACTTTTATTTGGTTGGGTTGGTTATTTCAGCTTCCTAAAATGAACTGAAGAAAAAAATAAAAGTGAGACAGGTCTGCTGGAAAGATAGCTTTGTGCCAGCATTAGAGCTTCTGTATTTGTCACCAAAGTATTAATTAATACACTTTCTTTAAAACCCTAGGAAAACATGTAAGTATTGAGTAGGATGAAAGAGTACGTAGTTCCATGGAAGTGCATCACATGCCTAAAAAGAAACAGTCCACAAGCAAGACAGACTGAGAATCAGAGGTGGGAATCCATACAAACCAGAAAAGTCTAAAGAAGAATTCCAGCATTTTTCCCCTCAAACTGAAAAAAACCCCAAACTTAACTCAAAGGATGAATTACAGTCCTTGGATCTTTTGCCATTTGCTTGTTGCATTTCTCCCAGATGTCTATAAACAACTACCCAAAGTTCTTTATAATTTTTCAGTCATGTTCACCATTGGATACCCATGCTTTAATTCAACACTGCAAATCAGAGTAGCACATGAGCAGAGTTCTAGCATTTGTTGGGAACTGAAGCAATTAGTCTAATGCTGAAGCTAAATATCTCTTGAGTGTTTCCCTGTGATGTCAAAATCTCCAGTCTATGCTATTTTGAACGAACTACATCTTCATTATCAGAACAGACAGGCAGATGTCCCCACCAATCTGTCCTCTCTTACTGCTCTGAAGGGCAAGAAAGAAATGACTGATCCCATCAGAGCAGGCAGCAGTGTGTTTTCCAGAGGAGAACATTACGGTCATGGCACATGCAGCACTTCCATCACTAGGGGTCAATGATGTTCATTTAGGGAGAAAAAGAAAAGAAATTGTGATGGTCTTATACCACAACTGCTTCAGAAGAGTACACTGAGATGAAGTCAAAGCATTTGTGCTGTTCATATAAAGCACCATTTCCCTGTCAAGTAGGAGTCACATATAACATATAACATGATATGAAAATATAGTCTTCTTAGTCCTGGAGGCATAAGGGGTGCATGTGTCCTGATGCTAATCCACCTTTGGTCCCAGTTCTTAATGGTTTCAGCTGTACCTTGTAATACCTTACGCCAAGCATAAACACACAGACATCATTTCAGCACTACAGCATGCAGAACAATGTGAAAGGTGACCTGCTGTGTATGCTCCTGTACACAGCTACCCAGCCCCACTGTCGATATTGGAAAGCAAAGCTTGGTTACAGAAGACTCAGATGAATTTCCATTGCCATGATTTTAAAGGGAAAAGAGGGATCCTCTCTCCACGGGCCAGTGCTGGCAGCTGGCTCATTAGTTCTTCCAGTCTGGCGTATCTTAAACCATTCCAGGTTGCTGACATACAACCTGTTTAGTCCTACCCAACTCTGTGTAAGATGTGGCCGTGCAGCTTATACGTGAGCATGTTATGCCTGACCTTGTCTGACAACAGATTCCTCCACGTGCTGGTAAGAAACATCTATTAGTGTTACTTTCCCCCACCAGTCATACTTCTGTGCAAAATGGAAGCAGAAACATACTGTATGAACAATATAGTACAAGGGTTTTCTAGATTATAAAATTGCCTAAGATGTTACATGTTTTACAGAAAAAAATGATCCATGTGTATTTCCATCTATTCTACAAACATGTACTCATCCACACATTTCATTTTCAGAAGGACAATAAATTCAGAATGCAAAACCCACTTTTATTAGCATAAAAAGTACATACTCAGCAATCAATATTCAAATTCCTTCACAGCATCTGGCATGTTTGATACATCTTTCTGTATCTGCTACCGTTGGAGGAAAAAGGGATTGTAAGATGTCAGAGGTTTAGAGTTAGAGAGGAGTTGGTGGTGGTTTTGTTTTGTGCTTTTAAGTTATGTAAACAATTCAGAGTGAAACCTGTACAAGCAGAATATTAGCTATCATTTATACAGTAAAAAGTTAAATAAAAATCAATCTCAGCAATACAAAAAGCAATATAAAAAAGTATTCAGATGCACAACATGCATCAGAATAAAATGTAGGACGTGGCAAGTAAGTGAACATGTTTTAAAAGCTGATCATACTGGAAATTCTCTGTAAAGAGCTGTATGGCTCAACATGAAAAACATTATAAAATTACTTGGTTCCATAAGAGATGTGTACAGTTGCATCTATTTTAACTTCATTAAACACAGATATATTAGAACAGACTGATTAAAGAAATAAGAAAAGTTTACTCAAGTTTAACAGTTCAAGCTGCCTATTTGACAGAGTAACTAGACAGAGGTAGACGCCCAACATTAGTGGCCAAGCTATTCTAGCAAGACCTTTTAGCTATCTTGTCAAACTTTTACATTCAAAGCCAACGTGAAAAGGCTTCATAAATGAAGGATGTCCTTCAAAAAGCCAGCCATAAAACCTGTATTGCTGACAGAAGTAGTTTCAATCATACTGCTGAAAGTGAGGAGTATGTAAGAATAAATCATTTACCAGACCACTGTAGACACCACTGATCAAGCACCAGAGCTCATGCAGTCGTTTTAACAAAAGTGAAATTAATTTCTTAATTTTCTATGCTTATTTTAGAAGCTGAACCATTGCTACCTATCTGACTCATAACTAGTCAAAATAAGATTGCAGGGTACCACGGCGGCGGATATCACATGTCCAGCAATGGAAACCACCTCCCAATGAATTGGCGTGGCGAATATTCACTTTAATTGTAGAAATGCCTGCAAGAAACATACATTGCATACTTTAAAATTAAAATCTCAAATTCATGTGGTAAGCTTTGATCAGTATATTAGATAATGCTTTATCAGATCATATGGCTAGATGCAAGCACAGAAAGTATTTCCTACTTATTTGTTAAGAATTTATTTTCCCAAATTCTAGGAAGAGAACAAACCAGGAACATAGCTGGCTTGCTTATTCCAGCGATACCCCCAGGAATACACAGTGCCTGGGGCACAGCCGGTGTTTGATGTGTTATGATGTGCCAGTAATAAAAAGAAAAATTCAGCTTTTGCGGTATGTGACCAATTAGGTGAAATTCTGCTACAATATAGGACCAGGGCACATTTACACAAATCTGTGTGAGCATTTATGGTTCAGACACTGAATGTGCTCTTTCAAGTGCCTGTCAAGAAAAGAAGCATTCAAAGTACAGAGCTCTGAGTCCCTCTTTCTCTGAAAGGAGAAAGAGCCTGTCATACTTACTACCTAGGCTAAGCCTCCTCCCACTTCTTTTCAGCTCTGATGTTTCAGCTGTGGCTCAGCTTATAGAAAGTCCTGACAGACGGACTCTGATCAGAAGACGTTTCTGTTACGAAGTTTGCCTTTTTGCTTCTTGCTACTTTCAGGAGCTCGGCAGAATCCACCATCTACGTCAGCAATAGTTTTGTTCCCAATAGACCCATCTCAGTCCTAGGAACTTGCTGACTACAGGAGTTTATTTAGAACTCACACAGACTGTGAAGTTCAAGTGTGAAAGATATGTCATGATTAGCATTAATAGCCTCATTTTAAAGTACTTTCCAGCATTTATAAACTCTCAGCTCCTTGGTCATGCAGAGAATTAAAACAAACAGACTGAAAAGCTAAGTGATTCACTAAAGGTTGTACAGCCAGTCTTTAAAAGCAGATTAAAGCATTAAACTGCATGGTTCTCACCTGCAGTCATCTCAGATTTGAGAGAAGCTTCAATAAATGCACTCACATCCATGGCACCAATGCTTCTTCTAGGTTCACAGTTGCTATCTTCCACCTTTGGATCATTCTCTCCTTCCCATCAGTTTTCTCCCTTTAAAGGAGTCTTCTGCTACCACGGAGTATTATCTTTTACTCTACAATACAGTGAGCCCTCACTTCCCTTGGCTTCTCATCTACCCACCAGTCTTCTTCCTACCTTGTCAACTTTTGCATCACCATGTATTTATCCTGCAGCAACAGTCAGATGGCTGTAGCACCAAGCAATCTGGACACCCTCCTACTAAACAACTATGAGCCACAAGTAGATCTACCTACATCTTTCCCTCCCAGCATGATGGAAGCAGTTGGATTAACTGCATGAGTTCAGATTTTCAAGTGTATATTGTCTGTCTCTGCAGCAAGCTGTGCATAATAAGACTTTTAGATCTCATATTTAATTGCAGTTCTCCTGCCACTGCATAGCTAAAGGAATTCCACCCTATCATGAGGTTACAGCTCACAGGACTGAGATTCTCCATAAATGAGATGAAATACCTGGGTAAAGTGGTCTTAAACTACAATGAGTTTGAAACTAGAAAACTCTGTCAGCATTTTGGCAATGAGGGATAGTCAGCTCTAAATCACTCAACAATATGCATGCTCAACATCTCCAAGACAGATTTTTGACCTCCAAACTGAACAGTTTTACATTAAAAAAGCTCATTCAAAAGCATGCTAGCAGTAAGTTTAACTGCTACTCACATCTTTATTTGCTGCAAGCTGTAGGGGACACAAGATGTAAGAAGCCCATATTCATATGGCTGAAGTATTCAGGAGAGAAATCACTGAACGATTCTTACTTGCTAATCCAACTGTTTGAGTACCTTTTCCAATGCTGGCTGCTTTGGCTACTTTAAGTGAAACCTCCATTCATCCTGATGCACATAGCTGGTACCATGATAATTATGGTTTAAGTATATGTTGAAATATGTTAGGACATACCCAGATTTTCAAACATCTTCTGAATTGATGTCTCATTGGCATCCACCATCACACGTTTCTCATCCAGCATTAGGACATTCATGGAGAGCCATTTAGAAGACATCCACAGTGGGTGATCTAAACACATGAGAATGAACCTTCTACTGTAGCAATGTTGCCCCATATTAATGATCTTAAGAATGCTTTTGGGATTATCAGAAAAGAAAGAGTGACTATACCATCTGGGATGAGTGGCGCTGGGGGGCGAATCACGGTCCAGCCTGCTTTCTTGAAAAGCTCAATCTGGAAGAGCAACTTAATTAGATTCTTAACAGGGTTCTTAAAGTATCACATTATGTCCTCCAACCTATGCCACATTTTCCCAGGCTGCTTCAATATACATGACATCCCCTTCCCTCTGTTCACTACTTTTTGTCCTCATTCAAGTTCCATCTACAAATCCATTTTCATACAAGCATTTTTGAAAGCTTTTTCAAACTTTGCCTACCACTACCATTTGCTTCTACTGTTCTTATATATGCTAGGTATGCTAAGATATGTTAAAGACAAAAGTAACACATGTAGTTTGGAGCCTGTGAAGTAAAGATATTGGTAGCAGCACAAAACTACTACATTATTTCTTTTTGGTATTATTTCTTCCCATATGGCTGTAAGAGCCATTGATATGAATTACACTGCCATTTAGAGAAACAAAACCACCAAAAATACCACATAAAATTATGTTTGCATCATGCTTCAAAGGAAACTTAACATGCAGTTTATTTAACAAAGGGAACAAAATAAAGGCATCCTAGGGAATAACTTGTGCCTCTAAGAATCACACAATTAAGCTAAAAATAAGAGAAAGACAATTTGGCCAAGGACAATTGACTTTTCAACTTCGTTGCCTGAATACTTGGAAGAGCTCTTTATTCAAGTGTCACCACGAGGTGGTGCTCCGACTCCGAATACTCAATAACCAGCCTGGCCTGCCAAAGAAAAGCTCCCTTTCGCCCACACCTCCCCCCGCCATTTCCCGGTCATCCAGAACTGCCAGATCAGCATCGAGCTTTTCTACCTCCACGGACAGCAGTTTTCTATGAAGAAGGTCCGAACACATGGGTTTAACACAAGGAGACCAAAAGCGTGCTCTTGCAAGTAAGATTATGAAAAGCAAGGGAAGCGAAAAGGGGAGGAAAAGACTATGATTGTTTTAAAAAATATATTCTCATAATGGATATTACAAGAGGCAGTAATTCAATGGGACCATTTGCATTGAAGCCACTTGCTGAGACGAGACTAATATTGCTTCTAAGAGCTATGCTGTGCTCATGGTTCCATAATCTCTACTGCACCCAGCTCTATCTCACTGATTCAGTATTGGCTCAGCTATTCCCATATGGTTGTACGGCTGCTGAAATCATGGGGATCCTCACAAAAACCCTCAAACACTGACAGTACAGGTAACATGTCTGTAACAGAGATGAGCTTTTACTCTCTGGAAGGCTTTTCTGATCCAATTGCACTGTTTAGCAATATTAGCTTTTTTTCCCCAGAGTGAAGCAGGTGGTTTTACACACTGAACCATGTCCCTCCTCTTTCCTACTCTTCAGAAAGTATTCAAAACTGAATGCCTGAGCAACTACCAGCCCTCTGCCATTGGTACAGTTAATACTCAAGGAGACACTTCTGACATAAGAATAAAAAGGGGGATTATTCATCTGAGCAGCAGAAAACCCTCGATTTCTCCTTGGATACAATTAATATATTTAAGTAGTGGAAGTGTTCAGAGAAGTGGCATATCCTATGTGCATACTTTGATACTGCATTATTACAAAATATATCACTTCCATCATATTTAAACTATGTACATAGGAAGAAAAACACAACACATCCACCTAGCCTCACAATAAGAAAGCACAAAGTGCAGTAGCAGAAAACTGAGGAAGAACAATGATCATTGCACTGCTGAGAAAGTTCTAGAGTCAAGATGCAAATATTTCTCTAAGTTCCTGAACAACTGTCCAAATGCTATTTACATTCAATAATTTAATGTTATTCAAGTGTATACAAAATAAATTTGTGGATTAGCAATTATCCAGCAGGGACCTAATCCATCTGAGTAACTTCTAAACACAAAACACTTCCCCCTTTGCTACACTCTTACCTGACGGCAGGGACGGTCTGGGTTAGAGAGCACAAGACCAGGTCCAATGATATTAAAAGTGGCATCAATGTGCATAGGGTTCGGATCCTTAAAGGATATTATATGCACTCTATAGTCTGGTGCAAGATGTCGCCTCATCCATTCAATGCCCATGTAATTTGTAACCTGAAAACAGGACAAAGTAAGTTTCACTAGGCTAGAATATAAACTGCATCCAAGCTTAGTTTGTCTAAAGTTTTATTTAAATAAATATTTAAAGCCAAAATAATAGAAGTTGGTGCCTTAGAACGCCTTTGCTATAAGACAGTCTCGCCCTGTATATCAGACATTCTACAAATAGCAACTTCTTTTGTCAACACCCTTATTTTAATGCTGTTCAGGAGTTTAAAAAGACATAAATACAAGTATCAATCATTAAGATAGATACCAAAATTGCTGGAAGAAACCTTTGGTTACCTGGCTTCTTTGTACAAAGATATCTCTTCCAGCTCTAATGAAGTCAGCAGCATCAAAGCATGGCTCAAATTCAGTAGTTACAAATTTTCCCTGAGCAGCCAGTTTATGCCTGTCTTCAACAGAGCGGATTGGATAATCCTAGTTACAGAAAAAGAAGGAACAGTTTAAGTTGGAGATGGTGAGGGAAAGTCTTCAAACTATTTGCTACTGAAGAATATTTTGAAATGAAGAAAGTATGTTTATATTGATAGCTATTATGTTCCTTGGAGGTGGTTTGTTTTACTTGTTACTAGAATAAAAAAAAAGAAAGCATAAACATGGAAGTTTAAGTAAAATGTTTTAAGTACATTCAAAAATAGGTGATAAGAAACAATTGTTATACTAGAAGTTAATTGCTCTTCAGAGCCACGGTCTCTATGACATTCTGGCTTCTGGATCAATGGTATTCATTACCAGTGGAGTTTAACTATCCATCCAACAAACCACTGCATAGCGACAGAAATACTGGTATGCAGGCTATTTCCTAACAAAGTAGACTCCCTACTTTCTCCACATTTTAGAATGGAGCAGTACACCTCAAACTAGAAAGCAGATATTCAGGAATTTAAATAGATTTTAGAATGAAGCAATGCAATTAAGAACAAATCAAGTGTAAAAAACAGCACAAAAAAATACTGGATAGGCAGTTTCTATGCTTTAGAACAGGCTCTGGAAGTTTTCTAATATTTTCCCATTACTTCTATCCAAAAGAATGGCAAAACTCATCTTTAGCAAAGTCAAGAAATCGGTGCATAATTTGAGGTCCCTACATTCTTCAGGAAGTTTTCAAAGAGACATTTTTTCCTCAAAATACATGCAACTTTTGCTACAAAGCCTCAGTCAACTAAGGCAGTTTTGTTTAACAAAGACTTCTTTGCATCATAAGATGAGACTGTTCACAGAAAGTTATAATCGTTCCACGACCAGTTTTATTGCACTTACTGCAAATGCTTTGACCAACTTCCTAATCCATTTGGAGGTCTATAGAAAACTACCAAAATTGTCTGAGTCAAAATTATTACAAAAGAAAAAAATTAAGGAAATAATTCACTTAAATATTTGGAAGGTAAATACCTACAGTCTAGATCCTCCACAAAATACTAATCATCATGCAAAACAATTATTATACGATCTTTTTTCTGTGACAAAACACATTATTTCTCATTTTCCTGATACACTCAGAACATACAGACATTCTCAGGGAATCTTAATTCTTTCAAGTAATACTTGTGATGTCTTCCTAGCATTCCTTCCTCTTTAGTAATGCTAAGTTACAGCCAGTAATCAAAACAATTCAAAGCAGACTTGAATTCAATAGACAGAGCTTCCTGTTTCTTATTCCCTAATTGCACACACAGTTTCAGCTGGAAAGGCTACAGAATATTTGCATACACTAGAAAAAACACAAATTTACAGAGTTGTTTTGTGCCATTCCCCTCCACCCACTCCCTCAATTTTGCAAAGCCTAGATAATCAGGTTGAAACTATCAACAAAATTCTGCATAACCAGAACAGAAGTTCTGAAGCAAGATGAGAACAATACCTGATCATAGAGTTCATCTGCCATTGTGGGTTTGGGGGCAGTTGTCCACTTAGCACCACAGTTGAAATAATCTTTGATTATTCGTCTATACGCTCTGTACTCAAAGAACCGAGCACGCCAAGCCATAGGTGCTTCAATAATTTCATTTCCCACCACCAACAGGATGTCTCTTGGCATAGCAGCATACATACCTGCAAGGAAAAAGGCCACTAACCTATGAGACAAATACGCTTCTCAGCTCTTTCACTTCTATCCAAAAGAATGGCAAAAACCATCTCTAGCAAAGTCAGGAAATGAGTGCACAATCTGAGGTCCTTCCATTCTTCAAGAAGTTTTCAAAGGGACATTTTTTCTTCAAAATACATGCAACTTTTGCTACAAAGCCTCAGTCATAACAAGTTCACAGCTAGGTGAAAGACATCCACAATCCACAAGCCTCCATCTCATAATTTGGTTAACAGAAATTAACAAGACAAATGCTTATGAATTACTCAGATAACTTTGAAAGGTGATGACGGGGAGCAGTTTTTCCAAGTGGACCCCATTTCTTTACAGGCCATCCTTTTAGAAAGTACAGCATAGAAGAGAAATTTGATGGAACACAGAACTAGTGCTGTAACTAGTAACTAGTCCCAATAGATTTTTCATTAATATTATCTGTTCCCTAATGAATTTGAATTCCACTAGAACAACTGAAGAACACATTCGACATGAAAGGAGCCTGGAGAGTACGCTTGGTGCAAAGCTGAGTATGAGCCACTGTGCTCTCACTGCAAATAACCAAAGCCATATTGTGCTACACAAAGAGGAATGTGGCCAGCAGATACAGACATTCAGATTTCCTTGACACTAGTGAGGATCCTCCTGGAAAACTGTTTCCAGTTTGGGCCTCCATAGTTCAAGATGGATCCAACTCAAGGATCCAAAAAAGGGCTATCGAGACAGTCAGGGGGACCTTACAGCACATGACCTGGGAGAGGTGGAGGGGCCTCACCTTATTTCACATGGCACGTAAGGGACAAAGCAGTTACAGCCTACAGCTATTTTCGGGGTCATTAAACACAACAGATGAACGCTTCTTAGTAGTGGCAGTAACAACATAGCAAGGGAATCTGGCCACAAATGCTGGTGTGGGAAGTTCAAGTTCAATATTAGGAAAATATCTTTCATTAGGAAATCAATGCAGCACTGAAACAGGTCAGTAAATCAGATGGCAGAATCTCCATCCCGGAGATTTTCCAAGTCATAGCCACACAAAGCCATCACTGACCTCATCTAGTACTGGCAATAATCCTGCTCCAACCAAGAAGGTAGACTGACTAGATGACATCCAAAAGGTCTGAGACAAGAGCTAAACAGACAAGGCCTTCAACAATGGAAGAATATTTACCTGTAGACTCAAAATCAGGTGTTTTATACTTCACAGACCAGTCAATTGGATCAGGCCTCTTGACAATTACACCTTCTCTTTTCAAAATATTGCACATCTCTTCAATTTCAGCAATAGCTTTTTTTAAATGGTCTTTGGGGAAGCTCTGGCCTCCAAATTTCTGATAAAATCCCCAATACTTTTCATATGTGTTGGCCTACAACAAAAGGATAGGTAAGTTACAAAGAATAAGCATCAGGTTTTTTCGTAGACTGAAATAGATGCCCAAGACAAAATTCTTAATGTTTAAAGTTTCTTGTTTTTCTTTCACTGACTTCCCTTTTTTTTGTATGTGTTAATACCCTAACATGTTGTAGTATGCCTTATATTTAATTCCTGAAATATTTTGAAGAGTTGCTAAGAAATATCATGCCGATTCTTCTAAAATAAAGGGGCAGGAGAGGAGGAAAAAAAAAAGGGAGAAGCATTAATGCTTCAGATAAATGCTCAATTATTCCTGGTTGAGAATCCCCATCCTCATAGCACCCTGTATTTATTTTTTGTCTTTACTACTTCTATTTATACACACCAATGGCAAGGTTTCACTCAGATGTTTTATGATGTGCATGCGTCCAGTCATTAAACTCATACAAGTGCAGGTGTTAGGCTAGTTGTGAATGGCTGATGTCTTCACAAATACCTACAGCCACAAAGTTAAGTTTCAGCTGTATGTGCTAAGCAGGCTCACTGAACTAGCAGACAGCTTTGGTACTGCTAACAGACTGTACATGTGGCATGATGCCCCAGAAGAAGTCCTCTGAGGAACAGTAGGACAAAAGGGAAAGGCATTCTGGGACGGGGAGGAGTAAATACACATTTCATTCCCACTTGCAAGTTTAGTTTGACTTTTAGATGGGATTTTCAGGATATTTCATTTCCTCATATTTTTGGATATAGGTGGATCAGTAGCTTGTATTACTTGTTTCTACTGATGGAAATACTATTATAAATAATGTAATAAACATTTCTAGAAGTCTCTTCCCCTCTTTAGCCAAAGCCCTACAAAGTCTCATTATTTATCAAATCAGATGAAACCCAAGAGACTATGTTACACTTCAGTTAGTATTTAGTGGCTAGTATTGCCAAGCAGCCATGAAAGATTTTGTCCTTATTACACTAGACCTGTACAAACACACCAAACACAGCAAACACTATAGACTCTGCTATTTCATAAGGCTAGCAGATATGTTTTTAAACAAAAACGACCTGGAGCTCATCTCCAAAATGCATACATCTGTAGTCACCTTGTTACAACCTCACTTCGGTACTGTCACAGTGGTGACATCAGGAATCCTAAAGCCATCCCCAAGTACAGGTAACATGCCTTGTTGGCTAGAAGGGGCCATAGTTCAGGTACAGCAGCAGTCTAGAAAATGCAAGAAATACTGAATTCACCTGTCGGGGTTGGATTAAAGCAAGTACAAAATTTACAGGCCTACATCCCCTGCTCCTGAAATCCTGTGAGTCTTCTCAAATTAAAAACTAATTCAAAATAATGTCCTAGTACACATAGTTAAGAAATCCAGAGATATAAACAAAACAAATTATGCTGCTTCAGTTCAGTGTATCTTCATTCAGATTTAGAAGCTGTGAAACCAGCAGTTTTGATGGGTCTCTGCTAACACTACATGACAGAGGAATGAGTGCATATGGAGCTCTTCTGGAACGACAGCAGAAAGGATCAGGAGCAGGTGAGCAAGTGGTCAGGCTTCCTGCTACCAAACTGAGTCCATCAGCACAAGTGACAGCAATAGGATGCAGGAGAACTTGTTCTTCCAAACATAAGGTTATGTCCTGACTACCTTCCAGAAAGCAACGTTCGGTACAAAAACAACGCAATGATATTCCTTTCGTGCTAGTTTTGTCATAGAATCATAGAATGCATTGGGCTGGAAGGGACCCCCAAAGGCCATCTAGTCCAACCCCCCTGCAGTGAGCAGGGACATCTTCAGCTGGATCAGGTTGTTGGTGAGCCCTGAGCAGGCATCATCTGAAAGCATGCCTGATCTCCGTAACAATCCAGGCTATCCACTCTGTTCTCTACTATTTCTGGATATTTGCCCTTATGCTAGAGAGGTAAGACAGAAGGAAGAGAAAATTCAACTTTTTAGACATCATTAACATTTATATAGAGAGCCCAAGCAAAGGTCTCAGCACGGCCATCCTGCTCCTCCAGTACTGAAGCTCCCTCCCATCCTTCCCGACAGATTTTATTCTCTTTCTCTAAGTGAGGTCTTGCATAATTTGATCACCTCAGGCTTGCCAGCTGTTCAGAAGTCACATGCAGATCATATGAAGTGCCTAGCATTCCTATGGAAACCTGTTCTGCTAATGAGACAAATTTGTCCTAAGGAGTAAAGCTAGATATTTTCAGAGCCACCCATGACATATTTGAATATCACTAATTCCTAAGAGCTGCAGCTCCCCTCTTCACCACGTGTCCTCTAGTACCGCTCTTTTTCAAATCTGAGAAATAACACTTGTGTTGCACTAACACCATAGCATAATCTTAAAGTTCAACAGAATAAGGGCTAACACCATAACACCACTCATACTCCCTACCTTCTGAATAACTGGGAAAAGGATATATGGCTCTGACATCTCTTTCACACCAATTCAGGGCTGAGATTTCAGGCCCCTTTGATCATATACATATAACTCATTTCAGTCTGTTCAAAAAGTACCATGGCCAGGACACAGAAAAGAGCTTTAAATAATCTCCTCAATGCACTTTATAACTTACTGTCTGAGAGAACCTGAGAAACCGTAAGAGCATTTAAGAAAAACTTTCTTTTCAGAAAGAAATTTAGGAGTGTGCTGTAAGGAAAAGATTGTATTTAAGAAACAGCAGAATTACTCTGTATAGTTGCTATATATTTTAAACATTTGTGGTGGAAAACAATTAAAATTATAAATGTTAATGGTCTCGAGATGTACCTTAAAGCCAGTAATAAGTTATTAAATTTAGTACACTGAAACATCAAAATGCTTTTTGCCTAATTCTGTGGTAAACACCACCCCCCCACACCTTCTCACTCAAGATATAATGATCTGTGGTAATAACACCTCTTTACCAAAAATGCGTTATTATTCACAAAATATACTGAAAAACATTGCAGAGTACAAAGCTATAAAGCTCAACTGTTCGACTGTCAACTGCTTCCGAGTAATACATCTGAACTGTAATATTTTTGACCAAAGCACCAATTCAAAAAAGGGCATCTTCCTAATTAATGTAGTCTTAACCTCCTAGTTAAGGTTTCCCATGTTTCCCCAATAGTGTATTTACCTCTACATAACCCATTTCAAGGTCCCAAAAGGATCTGCAATAGTACCATCTCATTAATATTCACCAGATATGTAGGGCTCCCTATTCAATTCCTTTCTTCCTCCTTACACCAAGCATAGCATGCCCACATCACAGCAAAAAGACTTGTGTATACCAAAACCATGTCTCAAATTACAAGAGTGCTGAATGCAGCCATACTTCCTGCACATCTGCATTTTGTAAATAAACATGCGCACAATCTTAAAACACAACTTAGAAGTACCTCAAAGGAAGTATTTACCAAAGTGTTATAATTCAAGATGTGTTTTTTTCAAGATTTTTCCTTCTACAATTCAAAATTGCTAGTTTAAAACTGTGGTTTTTATAACCAATGACCCTCATTCATACTTGGCAGAAGGCATTGCTACTTACAGGGACAGTAACAGGGATTTCTGGCTGTTGTATTACACTGGAGCAACACACACACCTTACCTTTCAGCCACACAGATTTGAGCAATAACTGAATCTATTAACATCTTTCAGTACTGGCAAAGTAGGAATTGGATTACTTTTTGAGTTATTCAGCAACACCCCCAGGTAAAGTTACTGTTGCAGTTTGTACAGTAAAATTTAAGACAAAAGCAGAGAAAACTAGAAGAAATCACACCTCAGCTGGCACACTCTATTACTATTACCTGTTGTGGCCAAAGTATCCTTTAGACTTGGCAGTTTACATAAAGCAAACATAAAGCTTCTTTAACCCCCAGCTATAGGTATTTGAATTGCAGAGGTAATGCTATATGACATTCCTCACTGAGCTTTTGATACTGTATGTAACAGCAAGTGAAGTTCTGACCCAATTTGATTAGTTATGGCTTAATAAGCAGTAGAACCAGGCTAGCTGTATAGCACGTCACACTTCAGAAAGGTAGACATCTGAAAGAATTTTTTCCAACATTGAAGTCAGCCCTTGGTCACCACTTGAGAACAGTTTTGCCTCACTTAATGTTACAATGTAAGAAGTTAGACATGTGGGGTTTTTTACTTACTTTTTCTGTACATTCATTATGGCAGTTTTAAGTACGTAAACACACATACATACACTTGTACATTAGAAATGCCAGTTGCCATTCACTTCTTTTTCTGAAGCTGCTAGAATATCTTTGGAGAGTCTGAAACAGGATTCCACAGGTTGGTAACTAAGGCTCAGATTTCAAGGAGTAAATACCAGTCATAATGAAGTCAGTGGTAAAGTTGCATTCAGTGGGGCCAAGATACCATCTCAAATGTCCCAATGTAAATCAAATGATTACTCTTCTATCTGGGGATTAGAACTACCAAACTGCAGTAATTCATTCACACTCCTCCAACCACTTTTGCCTAGAATCATAGCCCAGATGCTGAAGGGAAGTATAGAAACATAAAAGGTACTAGGGGAAGAGAAGTCTTCTCCACAAGTACATCCCAAACTACCATTTCCAGCACATTAAACATATTTTCAGGATCTGTTTGCCATTTCCTCAATATCAAATCAGAAGAATTCCCTTTCTTGTTTTAACTGAGGTCTTCTGGTTAACTTCCGCAAGATAGCCTTTAAAATTTTACTAAGATCTCTTCAGCAGAAGCAGTGTGCCAGCTCATTTTGCTGTGATAGCCATGGACTACATGCTGCCTTGGGGGGTAGTACTGTACTGTGACACTGGAAGAGAACAATTGAAAATCACCCTCACAAATGCAGGTAACAACACATACTTAGCAACTTTAAAGTCCAGGTAAAACACCCAATAAAAACCTAGAGCAAGCCCATGGTTTGAGTGTTCCTGTTCTAAAACACAAAATTTCAGAAAACGAAGAAATGTGGATTTATTTATATTGCTATTGTAGTTTTAAGCACAGAAAACCCCTGAAAGACAGAGGAGTATGTGTTTCCATACAATACTTACTGTAGCACATAGAGTTGCAGTGAGCTGTTTAAGAGCTATTTAAACAGAATGGTCCTGCTAGTCTCCAGGTATAGAACTCAGTCTTTCCAAGCCTATTAAGTAGAAAACTACACCTTTTTTTCAAGTGATAACCTACTTGGTTTTGAGCCCAATTAAACTTTTATCAGTCCTACCATTTCAAAAGCTAGAGCATGTACTTCAGTAGCATCAGGGCTATATTACTAGAGCAGACTGCACATATTAGAGATTCCCTCTACTATTGACTTCTGTTAAAACAGGTAATTCAGTTTTAAGTAGAAAGAAAAAGCACATCCCCCACCAACATGGCTATGCTGTAGTTCCACAGATGTAAACGACTACTTCGAAAGAAGCAGCCTTAAGAGTAAACACCACACTTGTTCACTGCAAAGCACAAGCAAATTGTATATATAAAAGCTGCGTTATTTCCTACGTACAGGATTTTTTTTATTATTGTTTACCTTAACCTCCACAGAAAAAGGCGGGACACAAGCATTTTCAGCTCTTCCCACAATGATCTCTTCCAGCGGGTCCCATTCGTTGTATGAGCAAACGGGACAGTCCTTAGGCCCAGGGCTAGTGGCCTTGTTGTCATCGGCAGCACAGGTGTTCTGGGAGGCCGTGGCTGCCTGGGTGCTCTGGAAAGATCGCTGCACCCACCCTGTAAAGGCTCTTCCAAGCTTAAAATGAAGACAAGAATGAAAGTTACGTTTCCCTCACAAAAGGCAAAAAGCAGTGGGTCAGCCCACGGGTGCCTTACGCCGTAACCCCAAAGCACGTACACGCCTTGGGCCGTTAACAGCCACGCACCGCTGGTTACAGCCGCCCGGGTTCATTCACCGCCCGCGGGACGCCGAGCGGA